TTATGTTATCAGCCACTCACGTAGTAATGTCATAATTCAGTATACAATTTTCCACCAAAAAAAAAAAAAAAATTAGTATACAATTGTCAAATGAACAGTTAAACATAAGCATAAAGTTCATATTTTATTTACTAAAGAAAAGAAATTTAATATTTTAATTAATCCTACAAAAAACATTAGTTTGAAGATTATTAAGTAATTGATATGGACTTCAAAGAGTGATAAGTTAGATTAGCCTATAGATTTAAGAATTGATAATTTTAACATATATATAGTATAGCCCTAAGGGCTACCGACTAAGTATAAGAACGAAGCTAATATAAAAAATAGAACATTAATTACGTTGGTCCTCCCATTAGGTGTTTTTATGAAGAATTGCAAACGTAAACTATTTTGATCAGAATATGCACTTAATAATGCTTATATGTAACCATAAAATAAAGCTACTTATATAATTACCCTTTAATTTAAATAGTTAAATTAGTCACTACGTAATTTCTTTCCTCATCACATATATACATAAGCATAACTATATTAGAGGTTGAATATATAATACGAAGTAATATGGTTAATTTTTTTTATTATAAATATTGTAAAGTTACGGAAAACTACTTAAAATTAAAGGTATCATTATTTTCACATAAGTACTTAAATGACCGATAAATTTTTTTTTTTTCCGTATTTGGAAAAAAAAAGTTTTATCAAGGACCTAAACTATGCAAAAAAATGTACAAATAGGTTGACCAAAAGCATGCATGCTAATACACCATGCATGCTACTAAAACATAGAGAAACAAGAAGGCATACTTGGATTCGCTTGACCAAAATAGGTTGCTCTAGAGTAGATGTCCTGACCATAGCCAAGTACAAATAACAACATCATTATCAAAGGAGTATGGTAGTTTTGTAATTAAGGCTAAACCCCATTTTTTCAAGGATTATAGAAATTAAAACACAACAAGCTAAGAATGTAAGAAGCTAATATATATAAAAATATAGTTGTAGAAATAGTGAGAAATGAATTAAGCTAGAAACTCTAGATATTTATAGCACATAATCTTGAATAGAAACAAAAAATAAAATAAAAGATTAATTTAAAAAATGCAAATTCTAAAAAATTTGTCTTCCACTATCGTAGTAGAGTCTTTAGAGATTGTTTCGGATGAAAACAATCGAATCTCGGAAGATCCTTTTATCTTGAGGGAACTTGGTCTCGGTCCGAACGACGCAGGAGCCGAGGGTTTCCTGCACAACAAATACACGTAAACTAGCCTCGGGGGGGACGCCGAGGAAGGCCCCTCCGATGCTTAAGTCAGTATATTAGAGAGAGAAAGCTGTGCAAGAGTTTAGTTGCTTGAGGCTTTATTGTCTTACCAAGAATTGACCAAATTGTTGGCTTTTATACCTTGGCTAATGAAGGAGGCGGATTGGGCCCGGAAGTCAGTTGGGCTGGGCCAAGCTGATTGGGCCGTTGACTGACCTTGACATGGCTTTGAGGATGTTGATTTTTGACTTTAGCACATTTGGAGAGTTGAACCTTAACCTTGGGCTTTTAATTGGATCATTCAGTGACCAGGCCCAATTGGACTAAATTGGACCCAAACAGAGATTATGTACAGTTTAACAATGAACCAATCGCTAATTAAATATATAAGTCTTCATTAAAAGTACCTTACTAAGTTTATTTTAATGTATTACTTTTCAGTGCACTTAGGTTTATCAATATAGTTAAACAGCACTTATTATATTTTTTTTAGCACTCAAGTATTTAATTTTGTCACAACTGAGTTAGGAGCTTAGGACACATGGGAATAAAAAATCTCTAGATATTTTCTTATGACTTTTTCTTTGACAAATAGTAGTTAAACTCCTTGTAATTGTGAAGTGAACTCACTCGTAACAGGTGCGGTTCATATCCGTTTACTATGGTATTAGAGCTCATGTTCGGTTGTTGTGATCTGATCAGTATTATAGACAACTCACATGTGAAAGGAAGTGTTAGGCCCATGAACAAATCCACATGTGAGTGAAAGTGTTGTTCTATATTAAAAGAGTGTAAAAAGTGTTGAAAATTGTATCCCACATTGAAAAAACACGGAAGTTGTGTTCAATTTATAATGCTAAGGGCTCCCCTCATTGTCATGTCTTGTATGATTTTGGGATGGAAACTGCTTGTATTTGTGAAGTGGATGGTTTTAACCCACGCCACTTAGTGATGTTGCAATGGTGTCACAACTCTTTAATACAAAAATTAATTTTATAAATTATAAAGAGGGTTGAATAATCAATTATACCTTAAAATGGTTTTTTGAATGGAAGACCCGTAAAAAAGTTGTCAAGTCAAATTTGGGTTAGGTACAAATCCTTCTTGGATAGCTATGTGGAATTTTAAAGTAACCATAATTCTTTATATATATATAGGTAATTATGTAGAATAATACCTGACCTATATATCTTAGTTGTGCAATCATCATCCTTACGTATTTGAGATTAATTCGACCTATATAAATTTATAATCTAACTTCATAATAATCATTGGAAACCTTGTTACCCAATAGAACATAGAATTTGTGAAACCTTGCTTTTCCTTCTACTTTGAATAGAAGTTATTTGATACTTTATAATAGGCAATTGGGTGGACACAGGACAGAAAGAACAGTTTTCGGGTGAACAGCGCTAGTTGTAAATGTATGTACCGTGTTCGACTACATAGGCAATCTGCATGGCTGAATGTACCAAATAACAATAAACCATCTGTTTTGAATGTTAACTTCTTAAGATAATGGACAATTTATAGGATAACGGAAACTGCAAGGCTTTAACTTCATGAAAAATAATCAAATCCTGTGGAGCCATTCTCATCAACACAAAGTAGAAGAAAATAAAGACGATTCAAAGCAAGCTGCCTTCCTTTTCTAGAACCAGCAGAAACTGCTACTTGGCAATTAAATCAGCAAACAGTTATCTTACGAAAATTCCATTCCATGAGGCGATTAATTGACTTCTAGAATCTCAACAGCAACAGATTATGTATCTGCAACATGTTATAACCTTCAACAAAGTTCCTACTACCTCCACTTCATATTATTTGCAACAATTAGACATTTTCTACTACAATTTATGTCAAATCTTTGCAAAAAATATGAAACAGAGGTAGTACAAGATATAATGCCATCACTCTTACTTTTGTGAAACCAAAACATACTACGTAGAAAAAGATCCAAGACTTCCTGTTCACAAGGAACAAATAATAAAACCGCAACATTTGGCAGAAACGATGGTATTGAAAGCATAATTCAGACAAGCCATGCACATTGCCTTGTATCACGTATCACTTTCACATGATTCACATAATGGACAACTACCAGTCTACCCAACTCAAGACCAAAGCAATTTCAACAGAATTCTGTAATGAAGCAAGAACATAATATAGTTCTGTAACAAAAATAATGAACTGAAGCAAGGCCTTGAAGCAAATTTCTTTGATCACTAAATCTTGAAACCTTTGCTTCCTGCCAAAATCTTCAACAGACAACCCAGGATGAATAATAGGGATCCAATACATGTAAAATCATTATTGAGTATATGACCAAACTCGATAAGCCTAACATTTTCCTGACCAAGTTGTAGTCATAGAAGGTACATCCCAATTCTAAAATGACCTGTTAGAAGCTCCTTTCTATTCATAAATCTATGATTAATGAGATGCTGATAATACTCTGCCGACACCAAACTAAAAAGCTCTTAACTCAATAACCTCCCTGTACATATTCTTAGTTGATTATCACGCCAAACAACTAAATTGATACATTAGACACTCAATGCCCTGTATCGAGTCAGCAATTAGCCACTCTAGATTTTCCCTGTCACAATGAGAATTTAAAAACAAACTCCATCCTTGTAAATTTAAAAGCCGCAACACGCTTATGCCAATAATTTGAATAAGCTGGCTCAAAAAAACCTAAATCAAGAACTACAAGCTAATGCTCATACTTTAAGACCTTTACTTTAGACAAACTACAGGAGCAAATAAGCAACCAATAGCTATCTGGTCAGATCATAAAATGGCTCTGTTGGTATGAACTATTCCAAGATGCCACCAAGTCTTTCCACAAAAACACACAAGCCTAGGGGGAAAAGAGGGAAGTGTACAAATCTAAGCACTATGGGCAGGAGGCATAAGAAGCAAAATTTTGAAGCACCAATAAACTTTAGAGTCTTGATAACAGCTATAGATTATGTAATTGCAGCATGTTAAGGTTTTTACAATCTTCTTATGACAAATTAACAGCTCTTTTGAGACTAACGCTTATTTCTTTTCTCCATTTTCACCTTCTCAAGAACCAAAACAAGTATCAATGGCTTCCTATTCACATGTAGCCATAACAAAACTAATCCAGCTTTACAAAATGTAAGCCATGCCATGACATTCTGTATGAATATGTACATCTTGCAACAAGATTAGTTCATAATAAGCCACATCTAAACAAACTAGGAGTGCAACTAATGCGTCCTTCAACAGTAAAGTTCAATTTTTGGCAATGTGAATTGTTGCAAAGAATATACTTCGTATATTTTATCAAACTCCTCAAGCCATCAAGTATAGAGGATTCATACGACTAACGCATTGTACACCATCAGCAACTAAACTAACTGACTAAATTAAGCCATAATGCAATCAAATCAGACAATGACCAACTTCCCCAGCCAAACAACCTTCAGCACGTAATTCATACACAATCACGCCCCAGCAACATCAGAATCCAAACTAATACAAGTACATAGGTAAACAAGATACAGAGCAGTTATGAACCAGAAAATACATAAGAGAAAAAACAGAGGCAGGCAGAGGATTATTAATGTTTAGTATTTACCAAATAAATCAACCTCAACCACGTCAATAATTATCAGAATATGTGAACTCAATAGAGAGATCCTGCTACTGGCATATGATAAACAAGACTAACAAAACTTGACCAAATCAGCGCCAAAGTAGAGAATTGTACACAATCAAAAATTAACACAGCATTGTGCATAAGAGATACAAGTCATTGTATGCTTATCACATTTATGTAAAATAGTATCGTTTAAGCAGATCAAAGCAAAGTCACCAGCGTCCATAACAACATGAATGGACAATGAGTAATAATACCTAAACATATTCAACTATAAGGGGCGGGGGGGAAAAATCACTATGCTTTACTATCATCTACACTGAAGGAACAAACATTCACATCAGTAACCAAGTCTAGAGCTGCAACCGAATTGATCACTATACCTTGTACTATGAATGCAAACATGTTTACAACTACGACACGAATCCATTAGAGTTCAAACTCATCCTCAAGCTTCAATTGCTCAACAGCAGCTTCCTCCTCATCATCATCGATCGCAAAGTAAGGATTATGAGCCTCAGGCTTAAACTTGTACCCAGTAAACACATAGAAAGCAAGTGTAGCCAACTCAGCAGCCACAACACTAGTCCACAGATACCTGTAAGAAGTAATAGTCTCAAGTGCATAAACCACCACCCTAGTGAAGTATATATAACAGATAACCACAATGTAGTAATGCCTAAACAATGTCAACTTCATAAGATTCACGGCCGCCTTCCCATCAGTCCTAGCTGCCTCCCGGAGATTCTTAATCGACCAAACAATAGGAAACAGAACAGCACAACAACAAATCACATCAACCAACAAAAACACCTGCTTCCAAGTGACCCAATCTTGATTAAATGGACTAGTCTCATCAATCACAACCTGAGCAATATTCGCCACGACTTGCAATGGGATCACAATCATCAAAACCTTCTTCTCACGATCTTGTAAATAGGGTTTCAAAAACGACCACCCAGTTCCAATCAAAACAATCAAAGTAAACAAAGTAATACCCTTCAAAAAACTAAAGATATAGAACAACACATCCCACCCGTGCGCACTACCCGTGCGTTTAATATACGATTTATCTTCAGCTTCACAAAGAAGATTCAAAGCTTTCATGGTCACAACTCCAAGCATAAAGAAATGAATTGCAAACACAGTCAATCTCTTTCTATAAAGAACATAGATCCAGAACACAGCCATGCCAAAGTAAACAATTGAGAAGAAGAAGTAAATCCGGGGCAAAAGAGTCCGACCCGCAGAAAGATAATCCCGGGTTCGGGTTTTCCCATCAAGATTATACATTGCAGACCTAATATTCATCGAAACAAGCAGATTTTCTGGGTAACAATTTGCAAAAACTAGGGTATATTGATCAGAATCAGTTTCAACAAAAAGCGACCCAAAAGAGTTAGAATTAGGGGTAAGAGAATTGAAGGTGTAAACCTTTTTAACGAGGTTTGAATCAAGGGCACAAGAGATATCGGATTCTTCGAGCTGTTCGAGAACATGAAGCCATGAATCGCGAGTACAGAGGAAGAACCCTACTTTGGAGAAATCGAGGTTGTTGTTGTTGTTGGAGAGGGTGATTCCGGTGACATTGAGTTCGAGGCGACCTGTATGAGTAAACCCGAATTCGTCTATGGGTATTATGGGTCGATTGTCGGATTTGATCTTGGTTGATCGGATTTCTGCGGAGGAGAGAGAAAATAGGGTCAGAAGGAAGAAGATGACTAAGGTGGTGATGCGGTGGCGCGCCATTGATGATGCGGTGAGATCCGATTTGAGGAGATCGGATCAGAAAAAGGGGAAAAAACCCAGATTTGATCGTGGGAGAAATGCAGGGGAAGATGAATTAATTATGTTATTAATGGTGGGATTAAGGATGGAATTAGCAGAATTTGGTGTGATTTAGAAGGAAGGAAATGGAGAGGAAGGGGAGTTTTCACGTTTAGCTTTGATTTGATGATGAGGAATTTTGTAATATTATAAAGGAGTAGGAAATTCTGAGCTTTGGAATTTACACCACAATTTTCATGCCATTTGTTTTTTTGTTTGAGCTTCGTATGGTATACGAAGACTTTGACTTTGTTCGTAGACTTAGTTCAAATACTTATGGGTATTAATATTTGGTGAACACTTGGATATTTTGCTATTTGCAATTCGTAGTTTTTGGTTTTTACATCTTTGCTTGGTTGCTCATTGCCTGATTATCCAACTAATTTGTTGCTCGATTTGTTTTCTCTTCCACTTCAAATATATGGAGTAGAACAATACATGGGGTATCAACTTTTAGCTTATTTTTGTTGTTTGGACTTGATCATTTACGATTAAATAACTAATTATAACACAAGTTTAATACGCTATTGAATTAGATAAGCCACCAAATGACAACCCTTATAAACAACTGCTACAACACGTTGATTAATGAATTGGATAATTTTCATAGGTTGTATAGTAATCCCCTTGTCCCTTTTATTAGTTCCAATTTTCAATTAAGGTTATCCTTTTGAGTTCACCCTACACTAACTAATGGTTATAAGAGTCCATCATTTTATTATCTCATTCGCCAATTATATCACTACCAATTTTCTCTCTAAAATTCTACCCAACCAATATTTTAGGAGTATTATGTAAATACGGCATTGCGCTGAGCAAGCCCATGACGCGACATGAGCTAACATGAAAATATACGATACAATACTATGTGTGTATGGTCATGAACCATTTTTTTCCTTTGAAAAGACACGACAAGGCTTAATGTGTATGGCCTAACATAACAAAACACACCAAAATAAATTAAATTTGATTTAGACACGCCAACATGAAACAAAAAAAAATAGTAGCATGTGGGCTTGTGTAGTGCCTAAGCCACTCATTTTGAAAAGTTTAACACGACATGAGCGAGTGAGGTTAGCCATGGGTTGTATCTAGCCCTGCACATTCTACAACCCTTAGCCACCCCTTCCCCATTCCCCACAAAAGAGATAGATGCGAGAAGGAGAGAAAAAGGGAAATAAGGTTTTGAGGGGATAAGAAGGGATAGTTGAGGGTTCAGGGAGAAGAGGAGTGATGGTAAGGTGTTTTAGGGGTGGGAGAAGGGGGGGTGGCAAGGTGGGTGGGGGTCTTCATGGTGCCTGGAGGAAGAGGGAAAGACAAGGGTAAAGGTGGTTGTGTGGTTGTTGTATGGTGATCCAATTTCCTTTCTTATTCAAAACAAACAATTATGTAAAAGTATGACTTGTTTTCATTAATCTGATTTCCCGCTTTCTTAAATTCATTGTCTTTCTCTTGTTGAACTAAACACCCCAATTTCTACAACTGCGTTAACACTTACTCCGTGTTTAATTAAATTCAGTTAAGGCAATTTCGAAGGAGCTCTAAATTTTCACCTTGAAAAAACAAAATTCATTTATCAAGGCCAAATTGTAAATAAATCAACAAAAATATCAAGTAATTATAATATTTTAAATGATTTTACTGCACCCGGTATAGAGTAAAAATATTATACATCAGGCCATGTAAGCAAAAATCGTCAATTGTTACAATGTTCTTACAGTCGTCAATTATGACCATGGATTGATTTTAATGCTCGGGATACATGACCAATAAAAAACAGTAACTCAAGCATTAAAGTTATTAAAGTTATTTAGAGTGACTTATTAAAGTTATTGTTTCAGTTATAGTGAGTTAGTGACCAATAAAAAACAGTAATTCAAGCATTAAAATCAATCCATGGTCACAATCCGTTCATACAGTCGTCAATTGTGATCATGGATTGATTTTAATGCTTGAGTTACTGTTTAATAAGTCACTTCAAATAACAAGCTCCTGCCAAAGTTGTTTTTTTTTTTTCTTGAATTTGTGCATAGTGATCGGATCATCAATTGTTACAATGTTCTAGGCTAGCTCTTAGCTTGGTGATCATCGACTTGAAACATGTATCTTGGTGTAAATGGTTTTGTAGGGTGTATTTCAAGTAAACTAATTTTATTTTGTGGTGTCGATAAGCTACGTCTGTTAGTTCAATTGGTCGAGCACTCTATATTTCCACAATTATGTATGAATCGAGACTTAATCTTTTAACTTTCTTTTATCAACTTCCAGCAATATCTATGTCTTAGCTATAAGGTAAATTTACACCATTTTTTTTTTGGTAAAAGTGACCCTAAAGAATGATAAAGGTGACACTAATCTAAGAAAAAAGTTACCTTACTATATTTGGGACAGAAGTAACCCTTATTAAGCATAAAAGTAACCCTGATTAAGGGTATAAGTGACCCTAAGTACCTAAGCGAGGAAAAATGCAACGTAACTCAAGGGGAAAAAGTGATCCTAGTCGAGGATAATAACAACCTTAATCAAAGGAAAAAGTATCTTGATCTAGCGAAGGACGATAACAATCTTAATAAATGGAAATGTTATCTTAACTAAGGACAAAAGTGACCTAATTGAGGGAAAAATTGATCTCATTCAAGGAAAAATGATACCCTAGTCAAGAACAAAAGTAACCCTAACCGAGGGAAAAAGTTACCCTAATCAAGGACAAAAGTGACCTTAACCGAGGAAAAAAGTTACCCTAATCAAAGACAAAAGTGACCTTAATTGAGGGAAAAAGTTATCCTAGCCAAGTACAAAAGTGACCTTTATCGAGGAAAAAAGTTACCCTAATCAAAGACAAAAGTGACCTTAACCAAGGGAAAAAGTTGTTGATGATTTAGAGTGTTGTATGGAGCGCGTCCGCGCCCATGTTAAGCGCGGCCGCGCCAAGTAGGCGCGGCCGCGATGAGAGCGCGCCTAAACCGCGCACCACTCTGGAAATCAGCATGTTGGATGAAAGTGGGGGCGCGGCCGCGCTGTCTGAGACGCGCCCGCGCTGCTCTGGTGGTGCGCTCGCGCTGGAGACCGCGCTTAAACCGCGCCCCTCTCTGTCTTCTGGTTTCATTTGCAGACTTTCTAGGAGGAGCGCCCGCTCTATAAAGAGGCGCGCCCGCGCTTCCCAGTGGCGCACCCGCGCCTGTTTAAGGTGTGCCCGCTCCTGTTTGTTGCTCGCCCGCGCTGCTTCCCAGTTCTGTGGTTTTTTGCTGACGGTTATTTCTCTTATAAAAGAGAATTTTCGGGAACAACGAAAAATACATAGAACATTTTTCTTTGTTTTCTCTCCCAAAAGTATTCTCCACTTTTTCTCTCAATTTTCTTGCAAACTATTGTGAGAAATCTCTTGAAATTTAGCCTTTCTTTCTGAATTATTCATTGTTCTTCGATTCTAGTGCTAAGAACGAAGTTTACTGTCAATTGTATCTCAAAGAGGATTTCCGGTTTAACCCAAGCACCGTGTGGGGGAAATAAACCTCTTTAGGAAAGTGTATACACGCCTTTGACAGTGTATCAAGGTTTGAGACTCAAGTGGTCATCAATTTTCTCATGTTCATGTTTATCGTCATCACGGATTGGAGTTGAGGCAAGTTAGAATCTTTTACATTAGTGTTCTTGTTTGTAATTTCATAATATACATTGTTTATTTGGTGCTTGGTTGTAATACTTTGATTAAGTATTTGATTGTTATATAATTTGATTATTATACACTATTTAGGTTTTGTTTCCCACAAACTTCAAGTAATTCTTTGTTAATTGAATTGCTGTAAAACCTAACAATCTAAAGAGGTTTAGTCATCTTTAGTAAGCATGTCTAGTGTGAAAGAATTGACCACAAATTTTGTTAAACTGAAAAAGTTTGACGGTGTGGAGTTTCGGAGATGGAAGAAGAAGATGTATTTTCTTCTTACATCTATGAATGTTGCCTATGTTATAAGTACTCCAAGGCAGGATGAACATGAGAATGAAACCTTGGAATCCGTTCGAAAAAGATCGAAGTGGGACAACGACGATTTCATATGTCGTGATCACATTTTGAATGGGATGGAGGATGATCTCTTTGATGTCTACCAAAATGTAGAATCGGCCAAGGAGTTTTGGGAGTCCTTGGAGAGCAAATACATGGCGGAAGACGCTTCAAGTAAGAAATTTTTAGTTAGCAATTTTAATAATTTTAAATTTGTTGATGGTCGGCCCATAATGGACCAATTTCATGAATTGCAACGTATTTATGGTAGCTTGGAACAACATGGGATAGCCATGAATGAATTGTTTGTTGTTTCAAGTATTATAGAAAAATTACCCCCTAGTTGGAAGAATGTGAAACATGATTTGAAACATAAGAAAGAGGACATGTCATTGTCCGGTTTGGCCACCCATCTTCAAATTGAGGAAGGGATTCGAGCCATGGAAGGTGTTAAGGATGGAAATCCTAGCACATCTACCGTTAATATGGTAGATGAAGGAAGAGCTAGTGCATCTACTAGTGGAAAGAGAAAGAATAACTATTCTTTCATAAATCAGTCCAAAAAGAAAATGACAAGTAACAAGTTTACTTGTTGGGAATGCGGTAAAGTTGGTCACCGCAAGAAGGATTGTTTCTCTTTTAAGAGAAGGATGGAGAAAGCCAAGGAGGGTCGTGCTACTGATAGCAAGGTCCTATCCACCAAAGGTAATCCAGTTCATGAGGTTGAATTTAATTCCGGTTTGGACTTAAATGCAACGGATCCTAACATTTTTATGGTGCAGGATGATGACTCATGGTGGATTGATTCGGGGGATTAAAGGCATGTGTGCAAGAGTAAACATTGGTTCAAAACCTTTCAAAAGGTTGTTGCTGGAGAAGACCTCTACATGGGGAACAACTCTACCATCAAGGTTTTTGGAAGAGGACAAGTTGAGCTAGTGTTTAGTTTGGGGACTGCAATTATTATTAGGAATGTTTTGTATGCTCCTGAAATTAGCAAAAATCTTGTATATGGGCCTACCTTGAATAGTCTTGGCTATAAGTTTGTATTTGAAGCTAATAGATGCATTATAACTAGGGGTGTAACATTTGTTGGTCGTTGCTATTTAGATAATGGTTTGTTTAAACTCTCATTGAAAGAGAGTGTTGTTTTGGATAATTTATGTTTGAATGTTATCAATGATAATCATGTTGGTTTGAATTTGTTTGATTTATGGCATTCTAGGTTAGGACATGTGAATTTTAATAAAATGCTTTTCATGTCAA